TATGATCAGGGAATCAAAATCCAAAAGGACATCTGCTCGGCTGACAAGTGAGGCTGATGCAGAGGGGTGATAAAGACCAATTCAGAGATGAAGCACTCTGGAATCCAGTTGGTTTCTTCCAGAGAAATCCTCTGTCTCATGCTTAGAGACTGGGGTTTACACAAGGTATGTCCTTTGCTCATGTTTCCAGCCTTGCTTACAAATTTACTTCACTCTCTAGACCTCCTTGAGTTCCACCAACACATCATGCTCCCTCCTACCACAGGACCTTTGTACATGATAGATTGATCTTTACCAAGTTAGCTCATGCTCATCTTCTTACAAATTCTCAACTCAACAATCACTTCCTCAGCAAAGCCTTGTTTTATTCCCTAGTCTACATCAGGTTTTTAAAAATGCATTCACCAAACCATATTTTCTTTCTTTGCAGGATTTACTTCAGTTTGTAATTATATATTCATTAGTGTGATTATTTTATTAATGTCATTCTAAAGGCAGAAAGTTTGTTTCTTTTTATTCTTGTTTCCCTGTGGCTTAATGCAGTGCCTAGCACAAACTAGGTCTCAGTATATAGTTGTGGAGGGCTGTATCATTACTTTTACTTGATATGGACTTATTTAATAGGTTCCAAAATGGACTAGGTAGGAGCCCAGAGTCAACTCCTTCTTAGAACTGAGAACAGAGTTCAAAGGATCCTAGGTATATAATACTTTTCATAATTAAGAAACATCCTTACTTTATTGAAAAGTCAGGGCTGCCTTTTGCCCTAGAAAACCACTAATCTAGAAATGAGTTGTTATTGTCCTGATGTAGTTAACCCATTAAGGCCAAAGTCTGACCATGTTATGCTAGAACCTGTTACACAAAACAGGGACAGGCTGACTATGGATGAAAGGAAGAGGATACAAGACCAGGTGCCATAAGGCTAGGAATGTCTCACTCTGATATGGTGCTAAACACAAGGCCTGGACCTCAGAGACCTTGCAGGTATCTGATAACTAGGGTATAATGAGCAACATCTTGCAAACACCACCAAACAACAGAACTGAAGGGGGTGTCTAGAACTGAGAAGACTCAGATAATAAATTCAACAGAATAGAATCTACCCTTCTAACACTCAACGTTTCTAGTTTCCTTTTATCTTCAGCAATAATTATGACTATAGACTTCCCTGGTGGTCCTCTTGATTAAGAATTCCACCTGCCAAAACAGGGGACACAGGTTCAATCCTTGGTCTGGGAAGATTCCACATGCCATAGGGTAACTAAGCTCGTGCTCCATAACTACTGAGTCAGTGCTCAAAAGTCCATGAGCCACAACTACTGCAGACCATGCTCTGCAACAGGAGAAGCCACCGCAATGAAAAGCCCATGTGGCACAACTGAAGAATCTCCACTCGCCACAACTAGAGAAAGCCCGAGTGCAGCAACAAAGACCCAATGCAGTAAAAAATAAATATAACTAAATAATTAATGAGATAATTATGATTGTGGTGGTCCCTGCTCACTGATCATTTACTTAGCAAGGTACTGCCCTAAGCATATATGTACACATATACACACATATGTATGAGTATATGTGCATGTTTATAAACGCCTTTTACAAAATTCAGACAACCTTCTTTGACAGAGCTCTTGTCTACAGATCGTGATGCAGAGACTTGGCTAAGTTAAGAGGCATGTTAAAGCTTACACAGCCAGCAAGTAGCAGAGCTGGGTGAGAACTTCAGTCTTGCTGGACTCCAAAGACTGTGTTCTCAAGCACAATGCCAATGTCACGCCAAATGCTAGTCACTGGAAGCCACGACTTTAAAAACCATATTGCAACACTACTTGCCTTAATGGCTACTAGTACTTTTCTTTACATATACACATAACATAATTCAAATGGATTTTTCAGTATCTGTGATGTCATAGGATATGATAGCTGTATTTTATAATATTCATTGTCATAAATACATACTTATGAAAACAAAACACATCCACATAGTATTTAGAAGCAGTTTGCCTCTCATGTCAAGGTTACTCATACCATCCTTTGGGAATCCCACATTTTTCTATCCAGAACCATGTTTCTTCTGCCTCTTTCAGTGGATAAGAAGCACCATGGAAATGGCACTAAGCAACATCTGATTTAAGAAGACCTGTCTGGTGGCTGGTGCTTTTCCAAGGCTTTGAAAGATGGCTGCTTCCTACCCCAGAGGCGGCTGCACTTCAGAGACAACAAGCTAAAGGGTCCCAGTTTGTAGAGTCTGCTCAGTGCTCAGGGCGGTTTGGTTGAAAATAACTATATAGATATCAGTTATTATCATTCTCATGATGACAATGATTATTTTACATATGGCTGCTTTAAGGGTGAATGGAATGGGCTCATTTGTATGCCAGCATCTGGCAGGCTGTCACACATCTGCAGAATATAACCTCAACTGTGCTATTAATACTTCCCCTTTGCATTCTCCCCAAGGCATCTGTCTCCTAAAGTGCCTAAAGAAACTTCGCTCCCTTTTGAAGCCCTAGAGGCAAAATTCGGAAAACATGTCACCTAGACTGGGGACAGCAGAAGCTCAGAGTGACAGCAGCTGAGCCTGAACAGATTTCTGGCTCTTGGAATAGATGTCAAGGCAGACAGGGAACCACCACCCACACTCGTTCTGTTAGCAGCTGCACTTCCAGGCGAAATCTGGGGGCAGATTCTCCTAGGCTCACACAATATGTCCCATCTGCTCTGTGATCAACAAAAGATGTCAGTCATGGTCTTCATGGTCAGTTCTCAGTCTCCATAATCCCCACCACTGGCTTATAGCTGCCTTCCCTGAAAAGCCTTGGGAGACTCTTCTGTGGCGGAGACCAGGGGACTGTGCACCTAAACCGGGTCTTTTTATTCATGTGCAACAGCTGTACTACATTTCCCAGCCTGCCTCCCAGTTAGAGGTGGTCATGGGATTGAGTTAGCTAATGGCATGCACGCTAATTTAGAACCTGGCTCACTGGCGTCTCCCTCGTGTGGCCCTACACCATCTTCCTCTTTTGCTGTACAGATGCCGATAAGGCATCGTAACACTGGGGAACCACAAGGTGGAAAGAACCCGAAGCTCTGAATCACTGGTTAGAGTAGGCTGCCTGCTGATGGAGATCAGCAATATTGGACTTTACAGGAGAAATAATCTTTTATATGTTTGAGCCATTATGGACTGTATTTCATATCAGAACATTCAGAGCGTTACTATAACTAATATACCCTTATGGTGAAATCGCCAGATTCTATTTCATTATCAATTATCTAATGGATTATCTCCACTTTAGTGACCTACTAGTATTTCAAACTTGACATGTCCAATCAAAATGGTACTTCCTGTATGTCAGAATATCCTAAATACTGGGATACAGGAATGAATCATACAAAGTTCCTTCTCTCATAAAATACACATTCAAAGATGGGGAAGCCCGAAATATACAAATTAAAAAAAACATAAGTTAATGGGGATAGAAGGTTATTGGGGGTACCTTGGGAGTTAGTGGGAGGAAGTGCCTCTGAGGAGGTGACAGGAGATTGAAATCTATATGATGACATGTAAAAAGTCAGCCCTTTGGACTCTGGGGGCAAAGTATTCCAAGAAGAGGGAACAACAAATGCAGAGAATGGAAGGAAGAACAAGCATTACCGAGGAACAGAAAAGAGGTCAGGTGGCTGAAGAAGAGTGACTTCGGGGAGAGTGGTATGTCAAGACAGCAAAGAGGGGGACAGGGACACAACCATGTGAAATCTTACAGTCCAAGGTTAAGAACTTGGACCTTATTCTAAGTTCAAACGGAATCTGCCAGTGTGTTTTAGTCCTGGGAGGAATGATATATGAATTACACGTTGAAAGGCCCGCTCTACTATGTGGGACATGTATGGTGTAGGACAGCGAGAAAGAACAGAAACCAGGGAGTAGAATATTGTAGTCACAAAGGTGAAAGTACCATGGCCAATACTAGTGTGGGTTGGCAGGAGTGGAGATGGAGAGAGATGAGTTGATTTGAGGTACATTTTAGAGGAAGCAAAGGCAGGGCTCGCGGACAAATTGGGTTGGGGGGGTAGAGAGGCTGGTAACTGGGAGAAAGGATCAATATTGACTCTTATGTCAGTTACTCAGCTGCCTGGGTGGTGAAATCATTAAGACTGGGAATTCAAGAGAAGAGTCAGGTCTGTGGTGGGATGAACCACATGATAGGTGCTGAATAAATGACTGATTTTAATATGAAATATAGGGTCAACATAGTAGGACGAGAATGCTGGGTCATATACTCATTCAGCAGTTGTCTTGATTTCTCTAAATTTGAGTTAACAGAAGATAATAATAATTTCAATATGGGGTTGTTATATCCAATATACTCTTGGCAGGAAGAGACTGAAGAAGTATGATGGGGACATGAGCATTGCTAATAAAGTTTGATTTTCTGATTTAGATGTTACTTATACAGGAGTCCTCTGCCTGTGAAAATTCATCAAGCTGGACAATTATGATATGTGCACTTTTCAAAATGAGATTCTATATCTTAAGTTCCCAGCGCAGTGCCTGGAATTCAACAAATCCACTATTACTTTCATTATTATGATACAATGAAAACCATTTCCTATGTAACTGTGGTCCATAATGTAGATACAGGCCATTTGTGAATCCATCAACAAGAGGAAGGAACCTTACACTAAACTCTAGAGTCTGGTCTTATAGCTGATAAAGTTCTAATTCATGACACAAAAATGCTTCTGCATAAAGGAAGTGATTCAGTGTTCTAACCCAAAGGTAGTCCTGGTTCACTACTTGCAATTCAATACTTCCCTAACTTTAGACAAAAGCGTATCACAGATGCCAATATAATTTAAAAGGGAACAGATCTCCACAAGTGCTAAGTCTTCGATAGTGATTGCACCTTTCTCTTCCATTTCTTCCCAAGCTTGCTCATACCTGAATAGTCTTGATACAAGTCAACTGGTTATTTGCCCCAAAGAAAGGATACTAAAACTTTGATTGGTTATTTCAAAGTTCCATAGGTTAATTCTCAGGTCATCAGCTGACATGTAGGTTTCATAGTCGCTGTTGACTGATATAGAGTTGATGTGATATGTGTGCGCGTTGGCAAATACTCTTCGCGGGGTGGCCTCCACCATCAGGTCCATGGGTCTCAGGACAGGCACCTGGGATGCAAGAGAAACAAACTGCTTCAGAACCAAAGCTCTTCATTAGGAAAGAGTGTGTGTGTTTATGTCCTTCATTATTACACACAAAATCATGACCACATCACATCAAAGGAGATCTAAGCTAGAGAAAGAGACTGATAAATTACATGCTGTTCCTATTCCCTTTGGTGCCTTTTAGTTTCACTCTTTTTAAAAAATGTCACCATCCCTTAGCCCTCATGGGCAATTTCATCCTTTGTAGACTCTAAGATTTTTTTCAAGTGGCCTCCTCTCAGGGGAACTTTGAATCCACTGTGGGGTGATTAGCTGCCAGGGATGTTGTTCCAGATTGTTTGTCTTTTAAAACATGAAATCTATTTTTAGAAGGAAGTTGTAGAAATGTTTAGAAATGTCTAGTTCAACTGAGATTAAAATTTAGTCTTCATGGCTTTGGGAGCCTAGGCCCCATCCTGGTTCTATCTTCCATCTTTTTAAAAGAATTTTGGGAAAGCATATAATCACGCAATTCTAGTAGCCCAAAATCATTAAGTCATTAAAATATAGGGAACCCATTGTTTTATCTGGGAAGATCTTGGTTTAACCTGTATATCAACAAGGCAGTGTACACTGTGATGTCAAAACTGTCCTCATTTGGACAATAAATTATATGGTCATCTTACTGATACATAAAGGATACTTAGTATTTGTAGAACAAATAAGTGAGAATATGTGAACAACTGTTATCTTCTTATGGGTCAAAGAATCAGACAGTTAAATAGTTTTGCACACAAGGGACTTTCCTGGTGGTCCACTGATTAAGACTTTGCCTTCTAATGCAGGGGGTACAGGTTCTATCCCTGGTTGGGGGGGGCTAAGATTTCACATGCCTTGTGACCAAAAAAAAAAAACGAAACATAAAACAGAGGCAATATTATAATAAATTCAAAAAAGACTTTAAAAATGGTCCACATCTGCTGGGAAAACTGGTCAACCACTTATAAAAGAATGAAAGTAGAACACTTTCTAACACCATACACAAAAATAAACTCAAAATGGATTAAAGATCTAAATGTAAGACCAGAAACTATAAAACTCCTAGAGGAGAACATAGGCAAAACACTCTCTGACATGAATCACAGCAGGATCCTCTATGACCCACCTCCAAGAATATTGGAAGTAAAAGCAAAAATAAACAAATGGGACCTAATGAAACTTAAAAGCTTTTGCACAACAAAGGAAACTATAAGTAAGGTGAAAAGACAGCCCTCAGATTGGGAGAAAATAATAGCAAACGAAGCAACAGACAAAGCATTAATCTCAAAAATATACAAGCAACTCCTCCAGCTCAACTCCAGAAAAATAAATGACCCAATCAAAAAATGGGCCAAAGAACTAAACACACATTTCTCCAAAGAAGACATACAGATGGCTAACAAACACATGAAAAGATGCTCAACATCACTCATTATCAGAGAAATGCAAATCAAAACCACAATGAGGTACCATTACACACCAGTCAGGATGGCTGCTATCCAAAAGTCTACAAGCAATAAATGCTGGAGAGGGTGTGGAGAAAAGGGAACCCTCTTACACTGTTGGTGGGAATGCAAACTAGTACAGCCACTATGGAGAACAGTGTGGAGATTTCTTAAAAAACTGGAAGTAGAACTGCCATATGACCCAGCAATACCACTTCTGGGCATACACACTGAGGAAACCAGATCTGAAAGAGACACGTGCACCCCAATGTTCATCGCAGCACTGTTTATAATAGCCAGGACATGGAAGCAACCTAGATGCCCATCAGCAGACGAATGGATAATAATACATATAATGGATAATATATGTATATGTGGTACATATACACCATGGAATATTACTCAGCCATTAAAAAGAATTCATTTGAATCAGTTCTAATGAGATGGATGAAACTGGAGCCCATTATACAGAGTGAAGTAAGCCAGAAAGATAAGGAACATTATAGCATACTAACACATATATATGGAATTTAGAAAGATGGTAATGATAACCCTATATGCAAAACAGAAAAAGAGACACAGATGTACAGACCAGACTTTTGGACTCTGTGGGAGAAGGCGAGGGTGGGATGTTTCGAGAGAACAGCATGTATATTATCTATAGTGAAACAGATCACCAGCCCAGGTGGGATGCATGAGACAAGTGCTCGGGCCTGGTGCACTGGGAAGACCCAGAGGAATTGGGTGGAGAGGGAGGTGGGAGGGGGGATCGGGATGGGGAATACATGTAACTCCATGGCTGATTCATGTCAATGTATGACAAAACCCACTGCACTGTTGTGACGTAATTAGCCTCCAACTAATAAAAATAAATGAAAAAAAAATGGTCCACATCACAAAAATCTTAAAAAAAAGTGTTGAATGAAGAATTCAGAAGAAACACAGAATCCTATACAAATGTGGCACTGGATATCCTGGGAATCAGAGAAGCTTGAGATGTGGATGTAGGAAGAACCAGGGATCCTCTTAAAGCCAGGAGTGGGATGGAACGGAAAGTCTTCACAAGCCCTCTACCTTGTTGTGGATGGTGGTTCTATACCAGAGGTCCAGGGAAGGCAAAAACTAAGAGAGCTGGTTCTGACCACAGATTCACCCCTCACTGACAGGCTGTGTGACCTTGGGCAATTATCTTGCCCCTTCCGGGCTCTAGTTATACTATCTGAAATATCCACTGTGCCCTACTTATCATGAAGGGTGGTTGGCATCTGTTGAGATGATTTGCCCTTCAGTTCAACCTCCTATTCACCCTTTCAACAACATTTTCTTGAGCTCTGTACAAGGTCCTGGTGGGGGACATTCAACTGGGGAGCCAAACCAGACACTTGCCTTCATCTGGCTGGTCCAGATGGTGGGGGCAGGTATGAAATCATCTCATAATAAAATGTAGCAAGCACCCAAAAGGAGAGGAAATAGCACAAAGAAGGATTTAACCTGGTCAGAGAGGTCTGGAGAGGTTTTGCTGAGGAAGCATGAATTGGATGACTTAAAGGATGAGAAGGGATCTACTAGTCCAGAAGGGGAAGGAAGAATGCTCCAGTCAGCAGAAAGAGCATGTGCAAATGTCCTATGGTGAGGGTGACGCAAGAATGAAAGATCAATGGGTCAGAGGAGTTGAGACAGAGTGATGAGAACCACGGTGGGAGATGAAGTGACAGGGTAGGTAAGAGGCAGGCCCCCAAAGAGATTTTTGCCACCACCCTAAGAGAAATGAAAGTGAAAAGTGAAAGTGTTAGTCAGTCGTGTGTGACTCTGTGACCCCATGGACTGTAGCCCACCAGCCCAAGAGATATGGGAAGAAATCAAAAGATTTTTCAATGATTTTGATATGATGGGGATCAAAGTTTCTGTGAGATCATTCCTGATGTAGTGGGGAGAACAAATTATAGAGGATGAATGAAATAAAACTTCAAAAGGGAAGGTGATATATTGATACTATTGAACACCAATTAAAGGTATGTCTGAGTTAAGGCTTTGTAATGGGTAAGAAAAGTGCCTTAGAAACTCTCCCACAAATATTTATTGGGCACTGACGCTGTGTCAATTATCCTTCATACACCACCTCAGGAAATTCTTTGACAACTCTGTGAAATAGTTACCAGCAGTGACTTAGCAGCAGCAGCATGAGGTAATATGATAAAGAGAAAACTCAGGCTCAGGGAAGCTAAGTCACTGGCCCTGAGTTGCCCGGTTGTAGGAGGCATAGTCAGAATTTGATTGCAGAGTCTATCTGACTGCAAAGCTAGGGCTTTTCCCACTGTATCACACCACACTCAGATACTATAACATAGAAGGAAGTGATAAATGCTCTGTAAGGGACATGAGTACAGGGCCCATAGAATTTATGGAATTGACAGAATTATGGGTAGTAATAGTGGTAGTGGTAGTCGTAGAATTTTGCAGTTAAGCTGCCTCTAGAAATCTCAATTTGGAGTTGGAGGTGTTAATGGCATTTGAATAGGGTGTCTTCCATGTGCTTTCAGAGATTCATGCCCTGCATGAATCTTTCAGAGATTCATGTCACAAAGAAATTCCCTACCTGGAGCTTTTGAGCTCTGCACTCCCCTACTCCCACCCGCGTCCCCAAGGTAGTGGCCCCGAAAGCAGGTTCCCCAGGGCTACAGAAGCAGTGGAATCTGTGAGGACTTCCTGCGGCTTTGCCTAAACTCTTCCCTGGCCCTCCGTCATTACCCTCACTGTCTGCACAGGCTTCCTGAGGCTGTGGTGATGCGGGGAGGGAACGTGACAGGTGGGATCAAGAGGCACTACCAAGTGCGAGCTGCCAGCTCAGAGCTTCAGCTTCATGTGACAGGCCTGCCCGCTAATTCAGGCTGACATACTCCATGATGTAGCACTTAATGGGGAAGCTCTGGGAAGGTATCTGGGGAGGGAGCGCTAATGCTCTGCCCAGATAAGCCAGGCGACAAACATCACTTGTGATATTCCCACACCCTCCCTATGCCCAGGTCAAGGCTGTCCACTGCCCAGGGACACCCTGTCAAAAGGAGGAAGGAGGAGGGAAGGTGGTTCAAGCTTACCAACTGGACAGGATGACCAGTTAGGAAACCTTGCTGGGACTGTGTTTCCTGTCTGCTCTGGATACATGCTCTTTCTGGGGCCAGGCAGGGAGAAGAGAGGGATACAGGTCCCCGAGTTCAGCCCATAGGCAATCATTTGGGTCTTCCCTGTAGGATCAGGGAGGGCTTCCTGTGGTAGCAGTCACTGAGTTAGAGCACCTCTGCCCTTCCGCCCTCTCGGTAGCCGGCCTCACGGGGAAGATTCCTTGTTTGCCGTTTTCCCGGGGAGGTGAAATAGCCTGTCTGACATCACACAGAGGGAGGAGCGGGGCTGAACTGGGACAGTGTGGTTCCCGAGTGAGCTCACAGAACCACTGCCCAAAAGAGACGCCTAGGATGAAAGACAAAAATGCCACTTCTGCAAGTCAAAAATTGTCACATCTCAGCAATTTCATGTGGTTCAGCC